AAAAAATATTGAAGTATGAGAGAGACAAAAAAGGCAAGTTTGTGTTTCTAACTGTTTAAATTTCATTTTAAAAACATTTGTGTTTATACCCTTAGGTTATGTTATTATAGCAGCCACTGTTTAGATGTTCTTGCTTCTTGCTGTTTGTGTTTCTATAATAAATGGAATCCCACTGAAATGAGGCAACAGTCCATGGAAACCTGAAGATGCAGAGACCTGAAAGTTCAGTGCCTTGCTACAATAGGTGGAAGATCATCCCACACCTACCACCTCCATCAAGGTTCAGGGACTTTTTCAGAAGAGGTTGGTGGGAAGAATGTAAGAGCTGGAGGAAGGGGTGGAGTGTTAACTGGTAATGTCCTCCAACCTATATATGCCCACAAACTACAGTCACACCTCCTTCCCAAGCTCATCAAGGAGTCGATGGGGAAGTCAGTTACTTCTCCTACCCAATCAGTCGACCTTAGCTACATGGGGGGGAGGGGCTAAGGATATATAAGCCAAGAATGCCATGAGGCACAGCTCTCACAATTTTGTGTGGCTGTCAGGAAGTCAAAGGATCTATATTTGAGTGTGGACTTTCCAGTGCAGCTGTAAATGGGGGAGGGGGGGATGCCCACTCTTCTGTAAATAAACACCCACCCTATGCCCTGTTAGCAAGCCCAATAAGCTCATTAGGATTCTCCCTCCCCCCAAAAAAGAACAGAGCTAAAGGAAACCTTCATTATTCCACCAAAGTTGACCTCATGTTGGCAAATCCTTTGGTCTTTGATTTCTTATTCCTATTTTCCCCCCTTAAACTTCATTGTTTATATGTGTGTATGTGTGTGTGTGTGTGTGTATGTGTGTGTGTGTGTGTGTATGTATGTATATATATATAACTTGCTTCAAGTTATTTCTGGAAAATGTCTTAGAAATTGCCCCTCTGGAATAAAATAAATAAAATAATTTTCAGTCATAGATTTGGCTAGTATATTCTTTTCAGTATGCATTCAGGCTCACATCCACAGTTTGCCTTCACTTCAGAAGGACAAGAAGATATATTAAACTAAATAATTGATGCTGTTGCCTACAGTCTTTGCTAGTAAAATCTTAGTGTTTTTACCTTTCTTCAAGGGGATATGTTATGCTGAGAACACCCTCTTTTAACATTTTATTTATCTTTAATTATTTTATGTGTATAAATGTATTGCCTCATGTGTGTAAGTGTACCCATGTGTGCAATGCCCACGGAGGTCAGAAAAGAGAAGAGAGTGTCAGATACCCTGGAACTGGAGTTACAGATAGTTGAACCCATGTCCTCTGCAAGAACAACCAGTGCTCTTAACTTTAACTACTGAGCCATTTCTAGAGTCCCAGAACATCTTCTTTTGAGAGGATTCATTTGACATGCTTCTTGTAGACAGTTACAGAGAAGGTCACAAAAGGATAGGGCTCATTTCCTCAATTAAAACACAGGAAATTATTTAACCAATCAAAACCTCTGCATCTCTGACACTAGCAGGAAAAAATGATTACCTACCTTCATCCCTAATATTACAACAGTTCCAAAATTGTTTGGGTTATTTTGCATTCTAAAGATACCATGTTAGCCTCTCTCTCTCTCTCTCTCTCTCTCTCTCTCTCTCTCTCTCTCTGTATGCACATGTGCATGTGGGTGCCTTCAGAAACCAGAACATGGCATTGGATCCTCTGGTGTTACAGGTGGTTGTGAGTTACGTAATGTGAGTCCTGGGACCTGAACTTGGGTTCACTTCAAACGCAGCAAAGGCTCTCAACTGCTGAGACATCTCTCTAACCCCCAAAGATTTTTTCAGTGTTCAATCCCAGATGCTGTAGAAAAGCTCTGTGCCTCTATTTTTCTGTCCTGCTTTCCCTTACCAGGAACCCTCACCAGACCATATTTGAGAGCCAAAAGAAAACTGTAGCTGTAACAACAATAGGACAGTGATATTTTATAGACACCTTGTTTAGGGAGGAGACCAGGATCACTACTTAAAATATAGAAATACTCTTGTATGAGATAGTGACTAACAGCAACTTAAGAAAGGATGGGTTTGTTTTGGCTTACAGTTTTAAGTGATACATGGTAGAGATGGCTGGTGGTAGGAGCGTGAGGCAGCTGGTCACATTGCCTCTGCAGTCAGTTATCAGAGAGTAGGCCAGGGTACACACACACACACACACCACAGCTAAAGCCTATTAATTCTTAGCACTTAAAATAAGTCAACTTGAGGCTGGAGAGATGGTTCAGCAGTTAAGAGCACTGGCTGCTGTTCAGTTCCTAGCACCCACATGGCAGCTAACAACAGTTCTAACTCCAGTTCCAAGGAACCCTATACCCTCTTCTATCCTCTGCAGCACTGTACACACATGATGCACTTACATATATGTAAGCAAAACACTCGTACACATAAAATAAAAAGCAACCAAATTTTAAAAAAATAAATCCACTTTTTAAAAGGCAACTTGTAACAAATGCTCTAGAGTCGGTACAAATTGCAGTGTAGTTGGCATTTCCATTAGTTCTTTTCAGGGAAACCTTCATTACAAAGGCTTCAGAAACCTCCTCTCATGCCCCTTGGAGTTCTCTTGCTCACCTATCATGACTGTGTTGGTTTCCTGTTGTTGCTGTAACAAACTATTTCAAATTAGTAGCTTAATGCAAAGAAAAGATGATCTGGGTGTCAAGAGTCAAAATAAATCTCTTTAGAATAAAATCAAGGTAAGGCTCTGTCTATACTCCTGGGGAGCAAGCCAAACTTTGTACCTTTGCCTTTCACAGTCCTAGAAGCTGCCTGCATTTTGTGTCTCATGCCTCTTTCCACCTGGCAATCACATCACTTAGGTTTCTCCTCCCATTATTCTCCCTTCTCCTTCTCTGACTCCCCTGTCATCTTCTTTCCTTTGTTTAGAATTCTTGAAGTTACACTGGTGGTCCTATATGAATAATCTGTGATAATCTCACCATCCCTAGATATTTATTTTAATCACATCAGCAAAAACCCTTTTACCATACAAGCAAGGTATTCTTGGTACCTTTCCATTCCTGTGACCAAACACTTGAAAGAATCAGTTTAATGGAGGAAAAGTTTCATGAGAAGTTTCAGGGACTATGGATGTCACTAGGGGGGGAGGCATTATATGGCCACCACAGTCTGCTCTCTAGACGTCAAACACGCATGTTCATCTCACATGAAAAGTATATCCAGTCCATCTCAACATCTTGCAAAGCCTCAAACTATCTCACCAATTAACACAAAATATAAAAATCTCATCTGAGCACTGCTAGCTCAAAAGTCTCCAATCACATCATCCAAATAATCAAGATGAAGTATAGGGGGAGTGAGAGTTGGGGCACCCAGGAGCAAAAATTCCTCTTCATCCTTGTACCTATGAAGCTGGGAAAGCAGTTAGTTGTTCCCCCAAAATTTGGGCAGGCATAAGATAAGAATTATCATTCTAATAGGGAAAAAATGTAAGAGGGTTTCATCAGTTTCCATAAATTTTGGAAACAACTGAGCAAGCAAAATTATGTTTTAAAGATAAGGATCATTCCTCTGTGGATTTGAAGGTCTCCCTGAGAGCTCATTATTCCACCCTCAGGGCTGCCCTTGACTTCACAGAGGACAGAATGTTTGCCCCTGCAACTTGACGACCTTTTTCCTACTGGCAGAGTTTGAGAACACCAGCAGTCTTTTTCCCATCATCCTCTCTGTATCCCTTTGAGTCCAAACTGATATTTCTACTGCTATAAAATCATTAGTTATCACATGTATTTCCTGCATATCTCACGATATTTCATTCCACCAGACAAAAGACTACCCCACTGATCTTTACTAGATAGTTTTATCTCTAATTTAATGACCACTATGAGTTATGGTGTGTATCTTTTCTAGACAGATTCATGCCTATTTCTGGTTTCTATCACAGAGCCATAAAATTCATGACAGTTTCCCAAGTGGGACTGACCCCATTCCCCCGCCAACCCACCCTTTATAGTTTTCTCAGTAATAACCGAACAGAGTGCAGAGAGCATAATATCTTGAGATAGAGAAAGAGTAACCCAAAAGACTTGTTCTATGCTCTAGTTGTTCCCCTAGAAACAAAATGGTCTTCGTTGCCTTAGTTCAGCATGTCACTACCCCAGGGTACAGAAGCCAAAGAAGGCTGCTTTCCCCCATCCTTCACTTCTGGTGCAAGTGAACCATGTGCAATAGAGACTCCATCTTTTTCTAGAGCATTGTTTGGCTGGGGCCTGGTTCACAGTGAATCTGGCACGTCTGCCATCCTTACTGCCTATTCGTAACTAATGAATCTACTTGAGGTAACTTCCTGTGTCTGAGTATGTTCTGTTTTACTAGACACAGACAGTTTGGTAACCAACACACAGTGAATTTTCTTTATAACAATCTCTTCAATTGAGCAGTCAGTAGAACACAGTCTATTGCCTTTTTAATCCCTCTCAGAGAGTAAAGGCTCTGTAGTCACACCATTGGCTTTCTCTACAAGAAAAATGATTCATTGCTTCCCTGATATTGTCTCCTAATTTTAAAATATTTTGCAATCTAAACACACTGAAAATATCTCAAGTCATGAAGTTCTAGTTCTTTTTTGCTTAATAGTTATTTCCTCAATTTATTTTCCTCTCACATTTTCCTACGCACAGCAAGAAAATTTTACCACCTATGTGTCTTCTAAAAGTTGGTTTGTGATTATTTATTTCGTCTCTAAGGGCTGCAGGGATAGTGTGGCCATCAAAAGGGTTAGGCTAACAACCAAAACACTGTTCAGTCTCTAAGACAATGAAGATTTTCTCTAACATAGTCCTCACTTCGGAGTCCTCACAGAAATGTTCTTAGCATCTACATTTCTACTAATAGTCTGCTAGAAGACAATTAAGGCTTTTTCCTGTCATACGCCTCAGTATTCTTCCAGCTGATGCCTCTAACCCATCAGTGGTATCAGATATCAGCTAGAATGGTAGTACAGGTAAGTGCTACAAACCCGGCTTTTCCAGTGCCTCCCGAATAATTTATTAAAGTTATACATGGGAAAATAGGATGTAACAAGTAGGAAACAAATGGTTCAAATGTTTCAACACTATGAATTGGGAGTCAGAAACAAGAACCTAATCATGTTTTCTGTGTTTTCAGATGCCTACTCAAGCTCTACTGATGAGGTGAAGAATGAACACACTGCAATGACATCCATTATAACAGACTATGGAAAATTCCTCAAAGCAGGATAAAATGGAAGGGCTCTATGAGCTGCCTGAGCAGATTTGGTATTCATATATTTTTTAATTTTTTTATATATTTTATTTATTATTTTTATTTTATGTGTATGAGTGTATTGCCTGCATGTATGTGAGTGCACCCATGTTGTGCAATGCTGTGGAGGTTAGAAGAGGGCTTCAGATTCCCCTGGAACTGGAGTTAAGGACGGTTTGTAGCCACCATGTGGGTGCTGGGAATCGAACCCGGGTCCTCTGCAAGAGCAGTCATTGCTCTTAACCGCTGTTCATATATTTATTAAGGGGGTGGAAAGTCTACAGCTTTCAGTAATAACTAAATAGCTCAGAGTTCATGGTAACTGAAAAATTAACCTCTGAATCTAAAATTTGATTTGATTTTAAATTTGAGTTCAATTTCTTAAATTGTGAAATAATTGCATTAAAAATTGATATTCTCTAGTTACTTATCCAGTTCTCCAGTCAGAGGGATGCAAAGGAACACAGGATGTTCAGTGAATATGAAACCTAATCTAAAAGGTGATTAAAATGGCATTGAGAATGCCAGAAGATATTTGTACATTGGTATTCATAGAAGAATTGTTGTCAATTACCAAAAGGTGAAAAGCAATCAAATGTCCAGTGACAGATGAAGAGAGAAACAAAGCATGGTACATGCAGACAATGGAACAGCATTCAGCCTTGAGAAGGAAAAGTGAAATGAGTGCCCCCACAACAGGTGCAAATACTGTCTGATTCCACTCCTAATAGCCACTTAGCAGAGTTAAACTGATAAAGAAATAAAGTAGAATAATGGTGAACACAAGCTGGGGGCAGGTAATATGGGGAGTTCCTGTTTGGTGACTAGTTTCAACTTGTGATAATGAGAAAAATGGTGACAGTGGCTGTAAAATAATGCAAATGTCTTTAAAGCTAGTAAACTGTATACTTTAAATGGTTAAAACCAAATACGTTATACATATTTCAACACTAAAAAATTAAAAGATAAATGAAAAATAATTTGTAGAAAATAATCATTTGAATATGATTTAAACAACAACAAAAGCCTGAAGACTACTTAAAAGTTGTGTAGTGCCTCTCAAAGTTGTGGTCCTCAGAGATGCTTGCTTTGGAGTTTTCTTCCTTTTTCTTTTCAGTGTGTATTGCCTGCATGTAGGTAGGTGTACCCGTGTCGTGCAATCCCTACAGAGGTCAGAAGAGGGTGTTGGGATCCAGGGAAGCTGGAGTTACAGATGGTTGTTAGTCACCATGTGGGGGCTGCGAATAGAACCCAGGTCCTCTGCAAGAGCAGCCAGTGATCATAATTGCTTAGTCATCTCTCTCTAGTCCTTGGGGTTTTCTTTAAATCAAAGAATGAACAACATTTCTACATCGAGCAGCCAGAGTGTAAAGTCCTAAATCCACCCAACTCAGCTATTAACCTGTCATGTGACCTTCAGAAAAGTCTTTAGTTGCCTGGGCTTCCACTGCTTTGTCAACAGATAAGGCCTCTGAGCTTCATCTTGAACTAAAACTCTAGGCTTTTTATTCAGTTAAGACCTTTCGTGAATTAACACACACTGAGGGACATTTGGGTACACAAACTTGACTCAATAGGTCGTAACATATATGATAGACTGCATTAAATCCTGTAGGGGGTGTTTGGGAAGGTTCAGATAGGGGAAAGGGTCTAAATATGATTAAGATGTGTTGTATGGAATATACAAAAATTCAATTAAAATGTACATTGAGGAAAAAATATAATCTATAATGAATAGAGGATTTCATATGATAGACTAGAAGCTCAGTTATGGGAGAAAAATATGAGAATGTGGAGGGGAGCTGACAGAACCTCAAAAGCTTTCTGATAGTTTATATAAACACATACAACACATACACATTTTTCAATTTCTTCAGTCAAATTAGATTATTAAAATACATATTTTTCTAAGCCTTCTTTATGTAAAAGCTCTCTGCCTGGAGAAGAAGAGAGTAAAAATTAAAGAGAAAAGATACCTGATATTAAAGTGTTTACTCCCTGGTGAAACATGGTAACATTATGACCATGATCTTGAAGAATCTGAGATACCCGGTCCATCAACAGGTAGTGGCTTCCACCTGGAACAGTGTACAACTTCAGTTACGGAACACTGAAAATAGAGGATGTAGATGGAGTGATCAATACAGGAAAGCAGGAATGTGGAATAGTGTTCATATGGCTTTAAAAATGTGCTTGGTGAAGTAAGCTGAACTTTGAACATGTATGTCTGGAGAGCCTGTGTCTCACGAGAAAATTCATGTAAGAATGCTTGCTGAGGAGATATCTCCAGAATCTTTGACCTCCTAAGTAGACACAGCACGGAGATAATGTTGCTGTGCTCATCTTATTTTGATGAATTGTTATAGTCTAGCCATATTAGTATTACTCAGTGTTCTGTAAACATTTGACTGTGAGAATAAAAGCAGAGCTACTGAGATTGTCAGCACTCATGTGCATGCAAGCAGTGAGTCCTCAGGGTTATTATTAGCTCAGTGGTAATCCATTCAGGTCCCATGGCTGCCCCCGCCCCAAGAGGCCACAGAAGAAGGCAAGAGAAATAAGCTGACGGTGAGAAGATGAACTTTGTCAGTCTGTACACCTTGCTCTGCATAACCTGCAGCCCAATCACCCAGAGCAAGGTTACCTGTGACAGTCTTCCACCAAAGATCTCCTACCATGACTCACACAACTCACAGTCTCCATAACACCTTGATGAGCTTCCCCTCACTTAGCCCCTCCTTAGGAATTTCTCACCCCAAGGTACATGCTGCATGTTAACCAGAGCCACTAGGGACCTTAGTAATTAATTGCACTGTTGGACATTTTGGCAGTGTTTCACATGCAAACGTGAAGGCTTTCTAACTGATATTCAGTTAGAGCTATTCCTGAGATCTTTATTGTTAGAAATTTATACTACTATTAGAAATACAGGAGCTAGAAGATAAGCCCCCCCCAAAAAAAAACACTTCCATTAGAATGGAGAGGAATGTAGAGCCCCCACTTAGAGTCAAAATCCTTAAGATTCAAATATATTTCCTGAGTTGAGCTAAGTATGGCTCAACTTAATTATGAGGCATTCCAGGTACTTACAAAGTTCTTGGGGTAGTATTGCTGGATCCTAATCATGCAAAAGATTAAGAAATTAATCCAAGAGAATACTTGGAGCTTAAGGAAAGAGAAGCCTGATCCTCAGTAGAGTGGCAATGTGGCCCATCAAATCAATCTACTTTTCTTAGATCACATCACAACATAGTGCCTTTGTTTCAGTCCAGGGGTCCCAGCAGAAAAGAGCAGAAAATAGATCAAGAGAAGTTAATAAGAAAGAGAAGGAAGATGTTTGGAGCTAAAATATGTAACTCTGAAAAGTCTTAGACTTTGTATTCAGGCTTGTATAGCAATAAGGGGCCATACTTTTTGCTCCTATTTGAATCCTAAGAGCTGGAGCCAAGGGAGATGGGGTTCTGACACATGCAGCCATTATGGTGGGTCTTGGGGAACAAGGTGTATTCTAAGGTAACAGGGATTTCAGCACCTCAAAAGCCACACATGTTCCCTTTTGGAACCTGTGATGGGACAGGACTTTGCAATTTAAAGGAGTTCTTTTGTTTCATGACTTATTAGCATTTCCTACCCATACTATTCCCTCCCAATTTCTTGTTTGGTGGTAGTTGTTTTGTTGTTTTCCCACTGAGTTCATGTGGTGCTGGCAGTATGACATGGGTGTAAGGGTCATCTACTGGAATTACAGGATTTTTAGTTGTAATTTTTGAAAACCTCTGCCATAAAGCTTTGAGAGAGGATGCTGTGCAGAGGAAGGTCTCTGATCTCAGTGTGAAATATCTTCGGTAATTTCTTTGTAGGCCAATGAGAGTCAAACTCTTACAAAAGATGTCTCACTTCCCTAATCTGTTGACGAAAGTAGAGGGTGAACTACTGGAACCCTGATTGCTTTCAGCTCTGTGGTCCCTGATTCTGGGTCTAAAAATGCCTAGAAGACATCCCTGTGGGTCACGGTTGCTTCATCCTGGGACGTCTTCTAGGTTATCCTTTGGATCAAAAATAAAGAAAATGAGGGGGTGTGGTGGTATATGGCCATAAGCCCAGCACTTGGGAGGTGAAGGCAGGAGAGTAAGTTCAAGGTCATCCTTGGCTACTTGAGAACCTGGAGAGACAGAAAGGAAGAGGGAGAGGGACAGGCAGGGAGGGGCGAAAAGGGGAAGAAACGGAAAGGGGAAGGGAGAGGAGGAGAAGTGGGGGACAGAAGAAGGTAGAGAGAAGGAGGTTGTGAAAGGGGGGTAAGTTAATATTTCAAATAAATCTTTCAAAAACCACCCACAGGCCTGGTGCAAAGTATTGGGGTCCCAAACGATCCAAATGACCTGAGTGCTCTCCTTGGCCCTGGTCAGTCCTGGGGATTTCCTCTGGGTGGAAAGCACTCCCTGTTCTTACGCTAGTGAAATTCATTTCCTGGCCTTCCTTAGCTCTGCCAGCAGCCAGAGGATCGAATTTTCTCTTCCTCTAGAGTCTAATAACGCTAGGGTATGGGACGCTCACTGCTGAGACTTCAGCTCCGCGGATGGTAGGGCAGGCCTGAATGGAGACTGCGCCTGAACAGCCTGGGGAATGGACATTTCCGATTTGCCCAACACTTTTTTCTCCACCTCAGCTGGAAGTCTCTCTGCCTGGCAGCTGAGCCCGCTGCTTCCTCCTCTCAACCATTTCTGATCACAACCCAGCTGGAAAGCCCGCCTAGACACGGATCTAGCAGTTTGCCTGAGCCAGGTGCTTGAGCCCAGGAAGCGCCAAGGCACAGGTCTTAAGTTTTCCTGCCCAACACTTACCCACCGTGGATATGGTCAGGATTTTGGCCGCCTCTGACAGCAGGGTCCCAGAGAGAAACAGGTACGCAAGAACCAGGGCGCACCGCCCAGCCATGCTCACTCCACAGCGCCGGGTCCCTAATGGCCCGCCCCAGCCCTGCGCTCAGCCTAAGAATCCTGGCCCCTTCCGTGCCAAACGCGCTGCCGGTGTCAGGAGGGGAGAGGAAAGGGGAGAGATCCTGCAGATCTTCTCTCCTGGGTCCCCTTGGACCCTTTTGCTCCTTTCCCTTTAAAGTTTCGGTTCTGGCCTTCCCAAGCAGCGAGAATCAGTAAGAAGGGTTGCTGACTTTACCCTAACCCTCTTGATTATGTAACCCTGGACTTTTTACCTAAAATAACACTATGAACCAGGAATGAAGGGACCTTAGGAAACCTGGTTGGTAACTCCGCCTTCAAATGACTTTCCTTTCCGTTATGGACTCGCCTTTCCCTTATGAAGTTTGTTGCAGTCAACCTTCCTTCTATTACTTCATATTGCTTCCCTGTTTGCCCAGGGACCCACTTAAATTTCTTGATGTTTCAAGGTCCAGACTTCCCCAGCAGGGAATCCAAAAGAGACATGGCCCTACCATCCCTGACTGTCTTTGACGACTTCTTTAGAAAACTTCTTCAGGGTAGCATTCATGAAGCGGTGCTAATGTTCAAAATGGAAGTCCAGGTCTTTACCTGAAGCACTGGTCTCCTAAAGCTGCGGCTGTAATTCTGGATGAGTGCCATGGGGTAAAACTGAATATCTTTCAATAATCTCAAGTGCAAACCCCAAACTAGGCCAGCTTCTAAGTTTGTAATGTCCGCCCTGGGCAAGACAAGGATCCCTAGGCTCAGAAGCCTCCTTTGCCCTCTGTCTTCACCCTAGACTGGCTTTAGGAAAAACTTTCAGTCTAACTCTAAAACAGGCCAAGAAGTCCCTCAGTGGATTCACTGCCTCAGGATGAAGTTACCCTTGAATTCTGTCTGTTGTTTTATTGTTGATAAATCAGAATTTAAAGCATTGTATTCTTACATATTTGAACTTCCACCATGCCACTCAGGAAGGAAGGAATGGAGGGGAGGCGAGGGGAGGGAGGGGAGGAACACAAGGTCTCCAGCCCATGTAATTATTCTTTTACGTTTTAAAACGCATTAATAAAATAAAGGATTTGTTGTATTACTTACTTTTCTGGTCACTGTGACCAGATACCTAATAAAAAAATAACAAGAGAAAAAGTTTATTTTGGCACATCATTCCAAGGAATGCAGTCAACCATGGAATCAAGGAGGGGAAGGCATGGTGGCAGGAACAGGAAATGATGGTTACATAGTCACAAAGCAGAAACATAAATGCATATACTCAACTCCTTTCCTTCCATATCCTCTTTTTATTAGGCCTGGGATCCCAATTATGTCACCACTTCCTCCAAACTGAAGCATCTTCCCCCTAAAGGAGCCCTCAACTTACAAGGCTCAAGAACCTCAGAAAGTTACAGGGTTCCCAAGGCTCCAGAGTTATAGAGGCAATTGTTGGGGAGAGAAGATGCTCTTAGCCAGCTGAGCTGCCTGCAGGTTGTTCAGGGAGTCCACATATGCAGCTTTCCTAAGTGGGCCACTCAAGTTGGGGTGGTCTTTTTGGTAATACAGCTGCTTTTGTATTACCCATGCTCCTGTAAGTAACCCCTTACTCATGCTTCTGTAAGTACCTCCAATAAACTCACAGTTGACTAAGCTAGGCTTGGATGGAATTGTTTCTTTTGTCCATCATCAGTGTCATATCTAGAGAAAATAGATGTGTTCAGGTCTCCCTAGGAAAAGTCACACAGCACCAGTACATGAGACAATGCTGACTACATCACAGGTAAGTCTTTTGTTGTTTAATTTCTCTGGGAACACTCTCACAGAGGCACTAGTACAGGTGTGTTTCCTAGATGATTCCAAATCCAGTCAAGCTGACAATAAACTGTAACAAATTGTCAAGTCTGCATCATTGGTGTGTGTACATTTACAATTACAGTTTCTTCTATCCTTATTCCAGGGAACTAATCCTCATTTGAAAAGTGCCATTTTTGTCTTCAGTAATGGTTTTCACTTAAGATCTATTATTATTAAGGTTTTATTTCCAAACAGCCATCACAACTGTCAAGTTTTAAACTTATCAATAGCTAATTATTATGCCAGACACTGTTCTGCTGGGCAGTCAGATGCTAAACATACTAATGAATGAAATACATATTTAGGTTAGTAACAGATGTTATTAAGAAAAATCAAACAGGGAAGCTACAGAGAACAGAGAGTCAGAAGTACTGATAGTTTGGACATCGTGATTCAATTGCTCTCTAAGTGGTGTAGGAATAGCAGAGAAATGCAAACATAATATTTGATGATATTTAGCAGCTACTATTGCTTCTGAGATGTGATACATATTGTCATGGCTACACACACACAAAAAAATTCCTGGTCTCTGAAGGTGCAGACTGAAACCTAAAGAGACACAATGCCTGATGTTTGTTTCAAACTAATTGCATGGTAGAGGAGGCAACGTGAGTAGCAAGAAAAGAAAGTTTAATGGTCAGGCATGAGGAAACACTATTTTTATTATTATTATTATTATTATTATTATTATTATTATTATTATTATTATTATTTTGATATGGGGTCTCCCTGTAGCTCCAGCTGGCCTGGAACTCACTATGCAGACCAGGCTGGTCTGAGTGCTGGGATTAAAGGTGTGTACCACCATGCCCAGTGAAACTCTATTTTTTTTTTAAATGATTTATTTAATAACAACATACTTAGAAGAAGCATATCATTACAACACAATTGACATATTCAATAACGTTTTCCTGAGGTAGGATGCATCTCTTTCAAATTTGGCTGTAAATTTTTAAGTTCACAGTTGAATTAATAGTTATATAATATTGAACTCAGTATATAAGCCCTGTGAGACATAAAATTGAATGAGCTTTTAGCCTTTAAAAAAGATTTCCATTTCATTTTAAAATATACTATTTCTTACAAAAAGACTCAGTTTTTGCTACTA